ACAATAATGCTTTCTCTTCCAAGTGAGTCATATCTGCTCCCACTGATAATACAGTCATATTAATATTAGATTCCTTAATTCCATTAGAGTTTAATTCTGCAGCCAACTGTCTGTATTGAAAGGGTAGCATTATAAATGAAGCAAACCACTCTACATTTTGTGAATTGGTGAATGCAGGGTGTGAACGCTTTCTACGCAGAACTATTGTATTTTCATAAGCTTTTGTGATCTCAAAACTCTTCTAGAATAATTGATTTGTAGCTGAGTTTATGAGTCAGCCTACAAGGCATAAAACCCCCACTCTGAACTGACTTCAGGCAATCACTTAAGATATAGTATACACCACTGAAATGTACCTTACCTCACGCAATTCTGTGACCTGCATTGAGAAATAAATACCAGTTCAATGTCACATTACCTAGCTTAATTCATAGAATCATAGAATTGTTTAGGTTGGAAAAGACCTTTAAGATCATCCAGTCTAACTGTTAACCTGGCACTGCCAGGTCCATCACTAAACCATGTCCCTAAGCACCACATCTACCTGTCTTTTAAATACCTCCAGGGATGGGGAATCAACCACTTCCCTGGGCAGCCCGTCCCGATGCTTGACAACCCTTTTCATTTTTCCTAACATCCAATCTGCTGAGGACAGGGGGATGATCACTTCCCTGCTCCTGTTGGCCACACTATTCCTGATACAAACCAGGATGCTGTTGGCCTTCTTGGCCTCCTGGGCCCACTGCTGGCTCATATTCAGCCGGCTGTTGACCTGTACCCCCAGGTCCCTCTCTGCCAGGCAGCTTTCCAGCCACTCTTCCTCAAGCCTGTAGCGTTGCATGGGGTTGTTGTGACCCAAGTGCAGAACCCGGCACTTGGCCTTGTTGAACCTCATACAGTTGGCCTCGGCCCATGATCCAGCCTGTCCAGGTCCCTCTGCAGAGCTCTCCAGCCCTCCAGCAAATCAACACTCCCACCCAAATTCCCTGAGATCTGCAAGAATATGCACTGATGCATCAGACCCAAGTGCAAAAACTGACCCCCTGTGTCACAGAGGTGCCCTGCCTCCAAGAGAAAGGAGAGGTTTCAGGAGTAACTCCCTGTTTGGGTGCTCCTGCTGGAAGCTTCTTGGCGTCCACCTCCCCAACTCCGCATGCTGAACTCTGCGATTCCCATTCCTACCTGCTGAGCTCCCCTCTTGGCCCTCTAGCTTCAGTTCAATGAGAGTCTTAACTGTTAAAAATGAGGTTCTATCAACTGAAATGTTCATGATTCTTTTAAACTGAGGGGAAATGCACAATACATTTGTATTGGATATAGAGCTATACATACATATGAAAATACCCAACTGTAACATAGACGACAGCCTAATCCCACTTTGCTGCTAACAGAGAAAACTAGGAACTTTTAAAGCATGATTTGTTGGATCTACAGCTAACATCTATGCCTGGTAACACGAATTCTGCTGTAAAAGCTCCAGTAGCTGTGAAGCAGTAATCAGCCTGGAAATGGATATCCATAGTCTGCAGTTGTCCAGGGGATTTCTGCCCATCTGTTTAGTCTGATTTGGCCTTTCTTTCACAGTAGAAATGGCTGTAACTGAAGAATTACACATTTTATCAAACCTTGTAATTGTCATTAATTTTGTAACATGCATTTTATCAGACCTCATGATTGACAATGATTTTGTAATATTTTTTTGCAGCAGAGGGGCCTATATGCTCCTTTGCTCTGAAGCTAGGTGGCTGTACCAGAATCTCTGTTTTCACCCAAAAGAAAAAAACCAAACCAGTACACCACAACTGCGGAGAAGTACATACAAAAATGAGCAAAACCATCTTGGAATCTAGAAATTAAAAAAAAACCAACTAGAAATTATTAGTTATTTTTTTGAGTCAAACTGAAGCCTTCCTACAATGTAAAACATGTACTAAAGACAAACAGTTTTTAGTATTTTGAATTGTCAAACCCAATTATTTCTGCTGTCCTGCAACCAGCTTGGTGAAGTTTTACAAAATCTTTCTGCAAGTACTCAGCGTGGTATTAAGTAACGAAATCTTTGTTGCAGCAGTGTTCAGGCAAACTTTCAGTTTCTATATGCCTCAGCTGAACATGTTTTTATTTTTTCACCAAGCCAGATCATATGACAGGATACACAAGCTACACGAAGTGCTGCCAGCATGTGGGATTTGACTGCAATTTTTGCTACTATATTTGGTGGTTTGTTTTAAGCACAATTTCTAGTACAAAATGGCTTCTCTGTGCAAAAGCCTGAACAAAAGGCAGATGAAAACACAAATCCAAAGGGCATTTTTGACCAGAAGAGGAGGCAGCCACTCGGGACTGGCACCACTGACTATACAGGAGCTCTGCAGTGCCTGCTCCTCGTCTGCCCCAAGCAGCTGCTGACATGTGGGGCTGGGAATTAAGCCCCAGATTTCTACCCCTAGGCTGACTACCTCACAGGAATCTGTGGTTTCACCTGGCAACATTCACCTCCCGCAGCTCTGTCCTTTAACTAGTAATATGCCTGAAAATTAAAGCGGTGTCGTAATGCTAGCTCTGCACAATTTCACGTGGCGATTACCCCAGCACCCAGCCAGGCCATGATGTAGCTTACTCAGATGGGGAAAATGTATACATCCTATCGGTGAATTTCCGTTACTTAGAATTTCAGTCTATTCAGCTTTTTTTTCCCAATAGTGTTTAGCTGCCATGTAGTAACAGTGACTGTGTATTTCTTTTTTTAGCTAAAAGCCCCAGTTTCATGTTCACTGCAGGTGCTTCCTCCTGGAACTATATAAAATGACACTGTAAGTGCTGCCAGGGTCAAAGGCCAGAGCCCAGAAGAGAAAGCTGAACTCCACATTATTCTTATCTAGTTCACAGTAACTATCGCTTCTTGATTCATGATGTTATCCACATAATAATAAAATTTTTTGAATCACCTTCTATCAAAGCAGATCCCAGAACTTTTTACGTGGCAGACAGTTTCCAAAGGCAAAATACTGCTCTCCTACTTTGAGGAAGGGCAAGATTTAGTCACAGATGGTCCCAGAGCCCTTCTGCCGCTGCACAGCAAGGTGGCTCTGGCAAACGAGGAAAGATGGGACATACCTGCTAAGAATGAGCAAAATAGTTCATAAATGTGACACCCTGTGCCTGCAGCTCACCATCTCGAGCGATCAGATCAGCCGATACGAAGCAGAAATGCTGAGATGTGATCAAGAATTGTTGTCCATTAAACACACCTCGGGGTGCTTTTGGTGTAAGAAAGAACCGCAAGGTCTGGCACCATCCCTCCCCTTGTGCTATAAATGTTACTCACTCTCTACATTATTTGTAGAGGTTTGTCATGTAAAAAGGAAGATTGCTTTGCCCTTTTGAAAATTCAGCTACTTGTTAAGGTGGAGTAAAGCTGCTTTATTTATTTATTGCTGTTACCAAAATGTCACTATGCAACAGGGAAGGGAAGAGTAATGCCTTGTTTTGCAATTCTGAAAATACGAGGAGGTGAAAAAAAATATACGTACTCAACTGGTTTTGTTTACAACTGCTTTCTGTTGCTGTTCAAAGAAGGCAAGAGGAAAAGAGAACTAGGACATCAAAACAGGAAAAAATTATAAAGATGATTAGGAAGGATACAAGAGTAAGACGAAATGAAGGACAATTCATGAGCTAGAAACAAGAAAAAAAACTCAGACATGTTTCTTATTTACAGCCTGTCGTGAATTAAAGGGAAACTGAGACTGCTGAGAATATGACCGCTTTGTTATGTATTTCCGCAGCTATAAACTGTTAGAAGTGCTATCCCAAGCGTTCTGTGGCTGTAGCCAGGAAGCAGAGAAACCAAAGTTGTAGATGCAAACAAAATATCCTCTGGCCCCGTGGGATGGATGAGGGCATCTGCTCATCGAGCAAAGCTCTTGCTGGCAATTCTTGCCTAAACTAATAGTCCTTGGCGTATGACCCCTTTTCAGTCTTTCATGATCCTGAACACCAACAAACAAGATGCTACTAAGCCTTACACAGTACGGTTCAGTCTTTTGGGTGGGGTGTCGGTGGGTCTGCGGGGTCCTGGAAGCCCCTTCTAAGCCCCAACCTACCCGTGCTGTGAGGCCTGGAGGTGCCTCACCCCATCACCCCCGTGGCTCAAGGCAGAGACCAGACGGGGGCGCGGGG